TATCAGAAAAGGAAATGAGGTTCTCCTGGCCTCAGGTGGTCTGTGGCTCTTAGGGATCAGCACTTCCCTTTCTAAATGTGCACAAACCACTTTTTAACTAACAAATGCTAGCATTCTGCTAGGAACAGAAGTCAAGGTCAACTGCCAATGCAGCTGGAAAATCACCACCTCTTCACTCTTTCAGAAAATGAGGACGGTATTTTTGCCTGTCTCCACTCCTCCTTCAGCACTTCTCCTAGTCCACATGGTTTGGTCCTTTTGGTTTGCTGGGTTTTGCCAAGGGTGGAACTCAGCAATCACATCCTCCCGTCCTTTCAGTTCCCTGGGATGCTTTGCCTCCAAGGCAGATGAGACTGAGGGCAGCTAGGTGCTCTCTCACCATCTTCTTGCTTTTTGGGGTTTTAACTCCCTCTCAATTATTCTGATCTTTCCCTTCCAATATGGTGATACACCCTGGACAAAACAATCCATATAGGATCACCATCAAACACCCGGGTCGCATGTTTCATTAATATTTGCATGGCCAGAAGAATCGCAGAACGTTTGGTTTGGAAAAAACACTCAGAGATCATCACTGAGATGACTCTATCTTGCAAAGGTGGCCCTCCCATGCCTGCAATGCCCTTTCTTCTCACCCCTGCCCCCCCAAAATCTCTAGCTTTCTCCTAAGCATCACTCAAGGTCTTCCTAATTAGACATTTCCTATGCTCTGTCCTCTTGAAATAATTTTATAATACTCTGTGTTACTCATATGTATGCATATTGTACTCTCCTCCTCCAGCAGAATGGAAGTTTCTTGAAGGCAAGTACTGCTTCATTTGTCTTTGTATCATCAGTTCTTTGTACATTGTATGTACTAAATAATTTTGGTTGAATTTGAAGTGAATCCAGTCCAGTCCTTCCATTTTACTAAAGGGGAAAAAAGTCCCAGAGAGGTGAAATTTCCAAATCCCTTAGAAAATAAAGGCAACATAGGCTTCTTATGGGTAAGAAGAGTATTTTTCCTTCCTTTTCACCCTCAAGACTTAGTATAACACCTGGTACATATTAAGCTCTTTGTTGTTGTTCAGTCGCATCTAAACTTCGTGACCCCATTTGGAGTTTTCTTGGCAAAGATACTGGAGTGGTCTGTCATTTCCTTCTCTAGCTCATTTTACAGCTGAGGAAATTAAGGCAAGCAGGGTTAAGTGACTTGCCCAGGGTCACACAGCTAGCTAGTAAGAGTCAGGTTTTCTTGACTCTAGGCCCAGTGGTCTTTCTACTCTCACCTAGCTAACCATAATAAGCTTTTAATGATGAATGACCAACATTAGATGATCTGATTTCAAATCCCAATTTAGCTGTTTACCTGGGTAAACATTTCCATCTCTGGGCCTCAGTTTCCTCATCTATAAAATAAAGGGGTTAGACCAGATTATCTAAATCCTTTCATCCTATGACACCAATAACTTCTCCAAGTTATTTATTCCCACAAAATACAGGGCACTTAGTTGGATGACATTACTTAGGAAAACCTTAGGAAAATCAGTATACTCTAAGTCAACAAAAAAACTCTGAAATCTGGCTTTGGAAAGCATTTTCTCTGTCTCATGAAAATGGTAATACTGTACAATGTATTAATTAGTTGTCTGCCATACAACAGCTGGAATAAGACTAAGATAATGACTAAAACATTATTTACGTAACTACATTCTGACACGGATTAGAACCTTTAGTTCCCCATTCCATGAGCTGTGAATAAATATTTCAAGCCTTCCTAATAAGGATATTTTATATGGTCATTAAGAGTGGGGTCACAAGAAGCTAGTCATATACAGAAAGCCTGGTCTTGAATCCCAGTTCCAGCATCAACTAGCATTGCCACCAATGTCAAGTCACTAAATCTTCCTGAGACCTTTTCTTTATCTGTAAAATAAGGAATGATATTTGCCCTGCCTAACCTCACAGGACTATTCTGAGGAAAATACTTTGTAAACATGCAAAGTGCTACAGAAACATGAATCTCATTATATTATTATCATGTTCATCTTATCTTTCTCAATGGGGTTCAGATAGAAATGGTCCAGAGACAGATGCTACTCTGTTCCTTTTCAATATTTAATTTGTGAATTAGCAGATAAAATAACTTTTTCTGTAATTGAGTTAAAGAATTGGGATCTAAGCTCATCCATAAGCTTTCTGAAAGCATCTTCAGGATGACTTCTACAACAGGCAGAATGGTGGGTTGATAAGTACCTCATGCTGATCCCATGTGGTTTTGATTTCTTCCACTATTATCTCTCCATTTTGAAAGCTTTTAATTCTGTGTCATTTGGAGATTATAGATATTTGGCATAATGACATCTGTGAAACATATCGCTCTCAAATTGTTATTGATCCATATTGTGTCTGAGTGATTGTGGACAACACTTTCTTTTGTGATGATGTTCATTGGTTTATTTGTTTGATTCTCAAGGATATTTTGAGGACTGGACTATAGTATGGACATGTGTGGTTTGTTAGTTTATCAAGAACAACATGCTTCCGATGCATAATTCTAGCCACCAGATTGTGTCTTGCTAGATATTTTGCACTTATGAAATTTTTGCAATCAACAGCAATATTCTGCAAAGTTTCTACCATTTCCTCACATAATTTACATTATTCAGTAAGTCCAGGCTACTTCAGGATAATTTCTTCTATAGTTTCTTGTAGAAATGACCTGTTTTTTGAGTTGTTTAGCATAAACCCATTGGCTTCCATAAATATGTTTGAAAGATTAAGCCATTTGTCAACATTTCTAATTATTATTGGTATTATTATTTCTTTTTAAAATTTTTTAAAATTTTTAGACAACTGGGGTTAAGTGACTTGCCCAGGGTCACACAGGTAGTAAGTGTTAAATGTTTGGTCTAAGACCAGATTTGGACTCAGGTCTTCCTGACTTCAGGGCCAGTGCTCTATCCACTGTGCCACCTAGCTGCCCCAATATTATTATTTCTTCCAGGACTATTTTTATCCCAGCCATCCCACTCTGCTTTTGCTTTGTCCTCAGAGAAGGCCTACAGCGAAGCCCACGAGATCAGCAAGGAGCAGATGCAGCCCACTCAACCCATCAGGCTGGGCCTGGCTCTCAACTACTCTGTTTTCTACTACGAGATCCAGAATGCTCCAGAACAGGCCTGCCACCTGGCCAAGACCACCTTTGATGATGCCATCGCCGAGCTGGACACCCTCAACGAGGACTCCTACAAGGACTCGACTCTCATCATGCAGCTCCTCCGGGACAACCTAATGCTCTGGAACAGTGACCAGCAGGATGACGATGGTGGAGAAGGCAACAACTAAGACCCCGGGTGGACTGGCAGCCGCATGCTGATGCTACTACTGCAGTCTTTATTTTTTTCCCACAAGTTGGGGGGGTCGGGTGGGGGAGGGAAGGGAGGGCATGACCTTCCCGGGGAGGAACCCATGGCCTATCTTTGATTGCCTCTTTGACATTTTTGCCAAAATACCTTTCACTGATATGCAACTTTATATTTACAACGAACTTTACATAGATTACCTCGTTTAAGGGGTTTCTGCATTCTCAAGCTTCAATGCTGAGCTTTGCATAAGAAATATATTTTGGACCCAATCCACCTACAAAAAGAAGGGGGATCACAGCCCAGGAGCCTCAAAAATAGAGTTGGAGGGGCACCCAGCTATAGTCCATACTTGACCAGAAATCCCTTCTATGAAGTGCCTAACAAGTGATCATCCAGGCTACCCTCAAAGAGTTCAAGTGATAGGGAACTTGCTGCCTTCTAAGAGGTCCCATTCCACTTTTGGAGAGCTCTAATTGTTAGGAGTTGAGTTCTGCTTCTGCCATTTCAACCCATGGTTTCTCATCCTGTCCTCTCAAATTAGACAAAAACAAGTCTAATCCTTGAGCAAAGAGATAAACCGTCCTCTCCTGGTGCATCACTATATTCCGAGAGCTATGTACTGAAAGCTCATTAAGTCAGGGTAACTGAATTGGTGAATAATATCAACTATAGCTTATAGGTAGCCAATATCTGTTCAATTAATACATAATCCTGATGAATCATACACAAAGTAAGCTAGGCTATTAATTTTTCTACAACACTCTGTCCACATTCCTGCATCAGGACCTTTGCTCACCTTGCTTTTCCCCATCTGAAACATCCTCCACTCATGTAAACCTTACTCATCATCCTTCAAGGCCTCACTCAAGTCCCATTGCCTCCACAAAGGCCATCCCACAATGACCTCCTCTAACTATCTAGAGTATTCATTTTCTGTACCATTCATGGGACACTTACCAAATGCTGCCTTGTGACACCTCCCATATTTCTGTACCTGTACTGTTAATTTCTCTTTCATGTGTCTATCCCCAGCTAGATTATAATCTCCTTAGGAACAAGGACTGGGAATTCTCTGCAACCACTCACACCTAGCTTGATGTTATTTACATAGTGGGCACTCAATAAACATTCATTTAAAGTTGAACTTGAAACTAGGCTAATAAAGAATTTCCCAGAAAAGCTCCTTTTGGTACCCTGCTTTGAAGCATACAAAGAATGATTCATGATTATCTTATTCTATTCATTTCAAGAAATATTTTGTTGAGTGTCAAATATATACAAGGCATCCTGAGAGATGTAATAGGAAGATGAAATCTGACTCCAAGATTAAAATGGAATAAATGATCAATTATTTGCATGTAAATAGTGGGTTTTATTCATCTTTCTACTACTCATTTGTACTTCTTATGAAAATGAGACTCAGAGCAAAGCCCAATTATCACACATTCTGAGCCAAAACAGATGAAGCCTGGGACTGTATTTACCACAATAAGCATCACATCCAGAAAACCTAGTGCCTGCTGCCCAGGGTCACAGAGATGTGCCTTGATTTGGTAAAAAGGAAAACACAATTTCTGCTTTAGCCTCTTTTCATCCTCAGTTCTGTGAGGTTCTGCTGAAAGGCCCACTCCCAAGACACACTTGGCAAAGTACCTTTTCAAATCCTTCTTCAGATGTTGGCTTTGAGAAGCTGATAATTCTGCATCATTGGCTGGGGTGGGAGCCAAATGTAAGTCCTCAGAGGATGCAGGAACAATGTTCTCACAGGTTGCTTTTGCCCTGGAGGTCCTATATAAACAACAGAAGAATTATTTTGAATGGAAGCCTTGTTCCCTAGTGGCCATATTCACAAAACTTTACCAAACTATACCCTTGCTCTCCCCAGGAAGGACTATTTAAAGAACCAGTATTGCTATGCTTTTCCCTGGAAATCTTATTTTTGAGCAGTAGAAAATTCAACTTCAGACACAACTAGATGGTGTGGTAGATAAAGCACTGGACTTGGGAGTCATAAAGAACTGAGTTTAAATTCTGCCTCAGTCACTAGCTGTGTAAACCTGGTCAAGTCACTTAACTCTCCTGTACCTCAGTTTTCTTATTTTTAAAATGGGGGACATGAAATTGATGACCTCTAAGATTCCTTCTAGACATAAATCTATGATCCTATGAACCAGTGTCAAGCTGCTACTACAGTGAATTCTCTCTCTTGTTATAATAAACCAAAACCTAACTTGACATTTTTTTCACTTCAGCATTTCAGGTATTCAAGAGAATTCATTTATTAGTATTATTTAAGTACAATTCAATAGTCTATGTAGTGAAATAAGAACCATACAAACTATGAATTCAATTCAATTTAACATTTATTAGGCTCCTATTAGAGCTGAGGCACTATGCTCATTTCTGAGGATAAAATACAATTTAATTCTCAAGGATCTTACAGTCTAAGGGAGGGGAAGGGGAAGAAACATTAAAAAAAAAAGCCAACCACAATACAAGAGACAGAGAAATCAGAGCTTTCCAAAGTGGCTCCAGGAGGTTGTGAATACCTCTTACTGAAGATTTTCATTCAAAGGCTAGATGACCATTCATCTCGGATGCTATAAAGGGGATTCGAGTTCTGAATACAGGTAGAAACCAGACTGGATGGACTCTACCAACCCTTGCAACTCTCAGATTCAATGCATGAGCACCATGGAAAGGTCCAGGAAAAGGAGCTATGGGAAATTTGGAAAGAAGATGATACCTCAAGGCGTCTCCTAGAAAAGGCTAGGTCATGGGACAGGAAATGAAGTACACTGATACACTCCTAGGACAGCTGTCTCTTTCTCTGAAAGAATTACTACAAAGCACAGAGAATGGAAATGATGTCTTTGCGGATACTTAGTAGTGATGGTAAGAGAATGTTTTAATGAAAGAGTGCCCTCTACTGGAAAGACATGGTAACTGCTAAGTGTTCAGGTAGCAATCAGAAAGGACTTCTCAGCCACGAGAAGTTTTCTGGAAAGGCTTTTGGTTTAGCTGGATGGGGGGAGGAGTGAGGAATAACATATGATGCAGCAACACGGAAACCTGCCCTCAAAAGCCAGAAGAGCAAAAGCCCTGTTTTGCAGCTCAAAATCAGTTTTAATTTCCCCAATTCAGCAAAAACAAGAATACTATGTCTGTAGATACAAAACCATGAATAGTTTGAAGCTGAGTGGGCCAGGAAGGAATTTGCTTTCTGAACCTCACTCCAGCTGTCCAAACGAGCTGAGAGAGAGGAAAAGGAGCAGGAGAAGCTGCAGGCTGTACAGTGGGGCCATGGGGCTACAATGATATGACTCAGCAGCTGAGGTCTCTGAAGCCAGCCCAGCTCCTAGGTCACCACCCAAAAAGCCCCAGCAATCAAGATTTCACAGCCATTCTGAAAGGAATTCCTCTGCCTTTTCCTAAGTTTCTACACCTGCTGGTTGTTTCCAAACAGCAAAATAGTGAAGGTGGCAACATTTATATTTAAAGAATATTTTGCTTACTTACATTCTTTCAAAAATTAGCCTGTGTTAACTTTCTAGGATTTAAAGATCCCCCTGTTAGACTAGTCTATAAGGACCAACATAAACAAAGAAGCACACACGACTTTGCAGGGCTCAATTGATTACAACCTTGTTATTTTACAGATAAGAAACTGAGGCCCAGAAACTTACCAATTATGTAGTCTTTAGGGATTTTCTTATCAGCAATATGAAGTTGAAACTATGTAATCTTCAAGGTCCCTCCCAGCTGCTACAAGATGCTAAGATTAAACGTTTTTCCTTAAGGCCACAGAGCTAGTTGGTAAAAATCTATATCCAAGCTTTCCTGGTTCCCAGTCCCAGGCTCTTTCCAACATGGCACAGCACTTAGCACAGGGTTTAGTACATAGGAGGTGCTTAATAAATGTCTGTTGACTTGCAGAACACCAGAAAAAAAAATTCATAGTAGGAGCTAGAGACCATAGTTTACACCCTGAAAACAGGGCAGCTGGAGGGAATGGGGATATTTCCTTAAACAAAAATACTTTTGAAAACTCATGAAGATAAACTGTATAAAGTGTGTTTGGAATAAAATAAAGCATGAATAAATCAGACCCCAGAGGGGGTTTGTTACAATACACAGAGGGCTGGCCTTAGAAACAGGAAGTCCTTGGTTCAACTACTACCTCCAATGCAGGCTGGCTCTGTTACCCTGGGTTAGTCACTTAATTTTTCATCCCCTGAACCTCATAACCCCGGCATCTTTCAAAAACTTTAATTTATGGAGAAGGTGCCACACTCTGTGTTGGCAGAGAAAACTCACCAAGAGCTCTCTACTTCCAATGATAGCACAGGTCTGGGGTACCTCCACACCCACCAAACCTCACATATTTGGCTTTTGTAAACATTTGGAAGTTGGGTAGGCTAGCCTCTACCTTGGAGGGTGGAAAAGTTATGTAAAAAGTTAATAAAATAGCTAATATGGGAATGGAGGGGTTAAACTAGAAGAATTGCTTTAGAAGTACGTACAAATAACAGATAAACTGGGAGCAGAAAAGATGAATTAGTAAATAGAATATTGAACTTGGAATCAGAAAGACTTAAGTTCCAATCCCACTTGTGACACTACTATTTGACTCTGGACTGTCACTTAACCTTTTAGTGCTTTAGGCCAACCTCTAGGATTTATCTCCTAAGTTAAAGAAAGGTTGTGATCTGCCTCCAATATTAAAGTCCCTAAGCACAAACTGATAAAATCACTAACCTTTGGCATATTAATCTAATGAATTTAGTAATTATAAGCTATTTTCACTTATTTTTTCAACAAGTGTTGTTTTGTCCTTAGTTCTTGAAGAGGACCAATGACATCAGGAAGATGATGCCATGATTTGCATATGAATTGGATTTAAGTGAGGTAGAAATGAGCGAAGTCATCAGCCTCACTTTCTCCTCCCAACCAGTGGTGAGATATAGATCAGGACTACTGGAGATGGCCCCTTATTGTTGGCCTCTAGAGATTAAAGCTAGAAACCTGGTTTCTGTCATTGCACACATTTAAAAGTAACAAATGCCATGCTTTTAAGAGCAATGTATCATTCTAGTGCCTTGCTGATTCAGATGGAACTTATCTCCCTGGCCCCCCTTTGCCCCAACTGTCCTTCTGAATAAATAAGGTCTGATTCCATTAGCTAAGGCTCTTAAGAATTCCAATTTTGCTGTGTTTCCTCCTTCAGTTAAAGGTGCACTGCATCAAAGTAAAAGACCCGATTCCATCTTAGAAAGCAGTGACAGGTCAAGAGAGAAAATCCACATTAATATCAAGATAAAAAGACAAGTAAACACTAGGGGGAAATGCATGAGGCAAAGGAAATACTGATTAACCCATAGGTAGCTCCACTAAAGACAACCTGACAAAGTATCTGTGGTGGTAAAGGCTCTGAAGGCTCAGACGTTAAGGGGGGGAAAGAAGTCCACAGCAGCCAAGTAATGGATATAAATCCACTGGCTACCAAGTAACAAACGTAAAATCTTCCACCAAGTGGAGTTTATAACACGTTACTTTGAATTCTTCACTCTTGTTCTCTCCTCTGCTAGGCTTTCTACCCTAGGAGATGCTGTGAGTCCTGGATGAGTCACTGAAGTCTCCCAAAGGGCATCCTGGCCTCACTGCTCTCTCTGGATCCTGCCATCTTGTTATCCATGGAATTCTTCACAGCCACACCCTTCCAGCTCTGATCTACATTGCACTAACTCAGCGAGTCCTAGAATCTCTCAACAATTAAGAACAGTAAATCCCCTTTCTTCTCTCCTCCCTACCACCCACCCATCCATCTCCTTCTTCCCCCAGTCTAATTGTCAGGTTCAATAAGCTATAGAAAAGCAAAGTGACTCAACACACCAGGGTATAACCAAACCTCAAAAAAGTAAATTTAACAAAACACAACCACACACACACCCCCCAAAAATAGGGAGATACCTGCCAAGAGAAAAATAGCCCAGACTGATATTGTTTTCTAGGTGTTTAATATGTGAAACTCTTCTATCCCCCACTATATTATTAGATCCTCCAAGGTAAGGGTAATGTGATCTTCATGTGTTCTTAGCCGATGTTTCAAACACCCATAGACTCAGCAAATGCCCCTGACCACAGCAGCTTCTAACCAGTAAGGAGGAAATAAGAATGACTTAAATGTGGTCCAACTTGTCTTCAGTGACCTGATTATGTCACTCATATACCAACCCTGGTCAACTGGTACTGTAGATGCTTAGCAGGAATCGATTAAACCCCAGGTGACCCAGGCAGCTAGGTGGCATAGTGGATAGGGCACCGGCCCTGGAGTCAGGAGGACCTGAGTTCAAAACCGGCCTCAGACACATAACACTTAACTAGCTGTGTGACTCTGGGCAAGTCACTTAACTCCAATTGCCTCACCAAAAAATAAAATAAAATAAACCCCAGGTGACCCATGGTTCCAAGGTATCTTGTCAAGTCCCCTTCCAACATGGCTGGTGCCTCAGACATTTGCTAGCTATGTGACCCCAGGCAAGTCACTTAACCCTTGTTTGCCTCAGTTTCTTTATTTGTAAAATGGGGATAATAATAGCACCTACCTCCCAGGGTTGTTGTGAAGCTCAAATGAGATGATAATTATAAAACGGTTTAGCATAGTGCCTGGCACACAATAAGTGCCTCTAGCTACTATCCACTGAGCCACCTAGCTGCCATTAAGTGCTATATAAATGCTAGCTATTAGCTATTAGCTAGGGCTTATCTGGATTGATCTTCTAGTCATC